GTTTTTGCAATAGTAATCCCTTACTTTACTCGTTACCTGAAAAAAGTAATCAGATTACAGTAACGCGTTACTGCCCATCTCTGATGGAGCCAGGTAGGGTGGTTCGTGCATCGGATGTTTCCTGGGTGAGGTGTTCGAGGAAAGGTAGACACGTACATGCTGGAGGGATTATGTCTCTTGGAATCACTTGGATGGAGGAAGTGGGTGGGAAGAAGAAGAAGGTTTGGTCTCTTCTCAGACTGCTGCTCCTTGACCTGCCACTTCAGATTAGGGAAATCCACACACTAGATGATAATTTGTTACTTAATTGTTGGTACACATTTCACATTTTGCTGACATTTATACCTACCCATACCCATCTTTGACAAAAACGTGGATTATTTTAAAGCAGCTGTTTTTTTATTATGACAGAAGATTGTGTGTGTTGGCATTTGCTGTTTCTGTGATTAGGACATGTGGTCAGAAGTGAAACAGAAATGTTACTTTCTGCTGCCATTAGGTGGCGCCATTACACGGCCCCTGCAGGATGTGACAGTGGCGGAGTCTCAGACTGCTGAGCTTGAGTGTGAAGTTGCAAATGCCAATGCTGAGGGCAAGTGGCTTAAGGAGGGCCAGCCCATCGACTTCAATGAGAATGTGGTGGGTGAGGTGAACGGGGCCATCAGGCGCCTCATCATCAACATTACCAGGCCACAGGATGTCGGAGAGTATACCTACCAGGTGGCCAACTCCAAAACTACAGCTAATCTCAGGGTGGAGGGTAAGTACTAGCTTCCCACTACCACACACACACATAGAGTTCACATAACCAAGATAAATAAAACAGGACGTTTACCGGGAACATACTGAGGTGAATTAAATATGACAATCAAAATAAAAGTAGTTATTGAAAGAAAATTTAAAAATTAACATTTTGTGTGTGCCATAAATTGCAGGAACAAGGTAAAAAACTTGGGTGTGTGGTTCGACATGGTGCTCTCCTAAGAATCTCATGTAAAAGAGATAACAAAGACCGCCTTTTATCATTTGAGGAACATCAGCCAGAATCAGACAAGTTTTGTCAAGCGACACTGCAGAGGTTCTTGTCCATGCTTTTGTGTCCTCACGTATTGATTATTGTAACGCTCTTCTTTCTGGGCTACCAAAGAAAAGTTTTAGAGGTCTACAGATGGTGCAAAATGCAGCTGCTCGCATTTTAACAAGAACTGGGAAATTTGAGCACATTAGCCTGTTCTGAGATCTCTGCATTGGCGACCTTGTCAGGTTCGAGCAGATTTTATGGTCCTGCTGCTCACCTACAAGGATTTAAACGGATTGGCACCTTCATACGTCTCCGACCTTTTACATCTTTACGTTCCATCTCGTGCTCTCCGATCTCACGACTCTGGCCTTCTAAAGGTTCCTAGAGCCAGAAAAAAGACAATTTTAGAGCTTTTTCTTTTTGTGCCCCGTTTCTGTGGAACAACCTCCCTCATGATATTCGGCAGGCTGCTCTGTGGAGGTTTTTAAAACTAAGCTGAAGACACATTTGTTCACCCTATCTTACAAGTCTTAATTCTGTGGCTTTTAGTTTTTAAATTTTTACTGTTTTTAACTTGTATTGTGTCTTTTACCTGTATTGCTATGTATCGCTTTTATTTCTTTTTTATCTTTTTAGTTTTAAATAGTTGTACAGCACTTTGTTTGAAAGCGCTTTATAAATAAAGTTATTATTATTATTATTATTATTATTATAATATAAAGCTCTAAAGGTTATCTGGGAATGTCCTGTTCATTTGTCACAAAAAATGATGACTTGGTAAATGTTTGTTTAAACTTTTATGATAGTTTCAGACAGACTCACTATCAGAATATTTGCAGTAGTTATTATAGTAGTTATTATAACTCTAGTAACTATAATAAGTGTTATATTTGTACAGTCGATCCATGGGACCAGTACTCCAATACTGGAAGTCGGGATTAATCCTAATCTCTGATCCTATGGGTTTTACCCAGAAGGCGGAGCAGATCTTGGAGCGTATGGGTGAGGGGATTCATCCAGTACTAACTACCCTGGCTCCTCTCATTTAAAACAAACAAACATAAAACAGGAGCCCTCAGTAACTTAGCAGCTTGTAAATCTAAGAACAATAGGAGCTATTTATACTAATATGGATTCATCCTCAGGTTTTTACATTTACTGTTTCACGAAAGTTTAAAAAGGTTCACAATTGAAACTTTTAGAATACAACGTATTTTATTAAAGCAAAAGCCAAAATAAATTAGAATAATTATTACAGAATCAAATCACTTGAATTATTCTTACCTAATTAACTGATTCTGATGCTGATTTAATCTGAATCTTTGAGAGGAGATGGTCTGAATGGGCACAGACACACTCATCTCTGTGTGGATATTGTCCAATAGGAATAGAGCCAAGTTCATGGAAGTTGCATCCCATTCAGAAACAATGGAAATCCCAATCCTCTTGGATTTATAATCCCAAACGGCAAAAATAAGTAGAGAAAAAGTCATAAATCCTAAATCCAGTTAGTGAGCCCACAGTGTCGGCATTGGTTGTTCCTCTGGTGTTACTTGCTATAATTTCACCTCAATAACAGTGGCTGTGACATCCATCCACCATCAATGACACCTCATCTGTCCCAACACATTCATTTTAACATTTTCTCTTCATAACTCTGTTTATTTGTCCCGTTATACTCAATATGATTTATTTTATTAAATCCTGCACATTAAAATCAGACATTCCTTTAGATTAGTGGCTCCTCAGGCTCGCTCACTTCCCCGTCCTCCACACCCACAGCCTCTGAGGTCATCTCCACACACACACTCAGTGAGAGGCCTGCACCAAGAATCATTATTATAGATTATATTTTCTTATTTGTATGTTGGTTAAATTTATACCTGATTATATTCTGATCACTATTAGGAAGCGAAACATGATTAACCACCAGCAAAACCCCCTCATGTTAATCTGTGTTTGCAACATACTTCATGTATCACACAATCATGTGTGATGATGATGATGGGTTGGCGACACATTTCTGTTTTCAGCCACACACAGACACTAATGTGCCAAGGATGAAGCTGGATAATATCTGCACATTAGAATAAGTTTCATTCCTCATATTAATTAGACTTATATCTCTATTGTATGTTTGATTAAAAACAAAGAGGATTTATGAGTAAAAGCACTCTGCATCACTTTTAACATAAGAGGCTGGATGTTAAGAACTTGTACTCTCAGATGTGATGAGAGGTAAGCCGGGGAGACTTCAGTCTCCGTCTGTCCCACCTCTCCTGACAGAACTAAAATGCTTCCAAAACTAACGAATCACCTCCGTGTGTATACATTAAAGTTAGCAGAGTTTTCTATTTATATGCAGGAGTGAAGATCAAGAAAACTCTGAGGAACCAGACCGTGACGGAGACCCAGGAAGCAGTGTTCACACTGGAGCTCACACACCCCGACGTGAAAGGATCCCAGTGGATTAAGAACGGGGTGGAACTGCAAACCAGCGAAAAGTACGAGATCGTCTCCAGTGGCTTGGTCCAAACGCTGAAGGTCAAGGACTGCAACATACAGGACGAGTCTGTTTATTCCTTCAAACTTGGAAAACTTTCTGCCAATGCCAGACTCAACGTAGAGAGTAAGTGTCAGATTTTATCAGCATAACCAAGAATTGTGCACAACGTTGTCACGTATCATCATCGCCCTTGACTGCTTAAAAATTCGAGTGCTTTATCTGCTACTTTTTTTCCTGCAGAAATCAAAATCGTGAAGAAGATAAAAGATGCGACGTCTCTGTTGGACGGCACGGCCTCCTTTGAGATGAGCCTCTCACATGACGACATCCCTGTTCGGTGGATGTTTAAAGGTTTGGAGCTGAAGTCAAGTGAGAAGTGCAAGATTCTGTCTGAGAGGAAAGCACACAAACTGATCCTGAAGAATCTGGACAGCAGCGATGCAGGAGAGTACGTGGCTGTGATTGGACACTTGCAGTGCAGTGCCGTACTCACCGTGGAGGGTATGTAGCACTATAAGACAAACTGCATGTGAAGTCTTGCATTTAGATCACAAGCTGCTCTCTGACACATCCATCAGAGTATGAATGTTAGATCAAAAACACTTAAGCACAGATTGCAGGTCGAGTGAAAAGCAGTCCATCCACTTACTGAAGAATATAAAGAATGTTTATGGTGTTTGAGATGAGAAGAATATTTGTGTAATCTTCTGTTATTCATGTCTTGTGACCTGATTTACTACATGCAGCTCTGAAGGTCACTAAACCCATGAAAAGTGTGGAGGTACCAGAGACTCAAGTGGCCACGTTCGAGTGTGAAGTCTCCCACTTCAATGTGCCGTCCACCTGGCTGAAGAACGGAGTGGAGATTGAGATGAGTGACAAGTTCAGGATCGTGGTTCAGGGAAAACTCCATCAGCTGAAGATCATGAACACCAGCAGGGACGACTCTGCAGAGTACACCTTCATTTGTGGCAACGACCAAGTGTCTGCAACACTTACCGTCAACCGTAAGAATTCTGACCTCACATAATGTGATATGAGAATACTGCATCAGAACGAGACTCAAAAGTAAAACTTTGAACCAGATTTCATGGTTCAAAATTATATAAACACCTAATTTAACATATTTTAAGCTTTAAAGTTTCAGAATTCTCGCTATATATTTGAGCTTTATTACTATTCTGTCCTCGGGGTGCTAGTTTGTCCTTAGATTGTGAACATCAGAGAAACTGGGTTGTATTTTCTTCATCTGAAGTACAGGAAATCATAAAACAAAAGTAGGGGTGCAACGATACACAAAATTCACGGTTCGGTTCG